TAGACTTTTCACAACAATAAATTCTTATTCCGCAGAAACATGGCGGGCGCCGTGAACGTAGAAAAAAATGAGACTGAAAGACGAATAACAGCATCAATAAATCATTCTCGTCCAATGTTGTTCCCGGGAGATTTCTGATGGATGAAATTAAGCACTTCCATCTCCATCTCCCACCTGATCGCGGGCGTATAAATCCCAGCAGCTGATCAGCAGAGCTCAGACATCAAACCGACCCCGCGCGAGCAGAGACAGCAGCGGACACCTCTCTCTCCCTGCATCAGCATTAATAACAGCTCCTCCGGAAACGTGCTCGCATTTAAAGCTGCCCATTTTTGGAGCGCTTCCATTTGGGTCTGAGCGCACTCTACACGCGGGCTCCTGGAGGCGGATCTGCTGCTCCCGTCGTGCGCGCTGTCCAGTGCTGAAGTTGCATTTCGTCTGTACGGAACGGCTCGTGAACAGCTCCGGAGCTTCCGCGTCTTTCCCCGCACTCAGGTGTTTCACTTTCAGCCCTGCTGGACCAACTCTTCTATTTTGCTGTGGATAAAGCGAGGATAACGTGCTGGAAGAGGCTTTCCGCTCTGCGCTCTAAACATGCCAAGGTCTTTTTTGGTGAAAAAGGTGAAGCTAGATGATTTCTCATCCACTGAACTTGAGAGCGCGTACGGCAGGTCCAGGACTGATCTTAGCTTTCGGATACACGACAAAGGTAAATGCAAAGGAATGCTTATACGCTTTTTCGGTTTATTTAGCACTCTTTAACCTAATACAAGCAGAGTTTTAGATGCAGCCATAATCAAACACATCTGAAATTGCTAAGCATGGTTTTTATTGTTCATTTATGAATTAAACTCTGCAGGAAGGAAAGTAGATATCCAGTAGCAGGATGGAGTACCCGTGGCTTTGTTTGTGATTTATGTGAAACCATAATGGGAATGCAAACATAATTAGTGGGATTCCATCACTGAAAAGGCATGGTAACATTCGCATGCAAGCCATATGAATATCTGCCGCTGGTAACAACGCTTAACTTCTCAGCAACTTGGAGCTCAGTCACTTCCAGATGAGCTTAGGTGTTTGTTTATTCTGCAAATCAAAGAAACGCTTAGGGCAGCTGCACACAGCACACTGCTTATGGTGGTGCCTTTAGAAGGAGGGTAATTAATCTTCCACTGTAAAAAAAGTGCTATCTGTGCTCATACTGTAAGTCCATAGTAAATGTGGCATCCTTCACAGCTCCACGGCTTTGTCCTGAAATAACTCTGGAATAATGTGAAGTCAAGCTGACACGTATTCTATTTGAAATTTCCTGTAGTGAGTGGTCATTAAGTCTAATTATATTCAAAGAGAAATGCTGAATTTGTTAAACACATAATGAATCTCAAAGAGCACTGGCAGAATCTGGTCACCGGTCGCCTTTGCCAAGGTGGAGATAAATTGAGTGGAAAAGTGGCCATCGCATCGCCGAACCCCATTGTCCTCACCCGATTCCCTTGTGAATATGAATAATTGAATAAAAGATCTTGTTCTCTCCACGCTAGGCTACATCAGTGACTACATCTCCCCATCCGTTTATGATGGAGAAATTGACGGTGGCACTAAAGTACCTTCTCCAGGACCGATTTATGACAGCAACCACAGTGACTATGGGGCACCTGACTTGGACCAGCCTGACAGCCCACAGTCAGAGATCACGTCCGGGTACATCAATGGCGACAACGCAGTGAGCGAAGGTTACACTGTGGATGCGTTCTTCATCACAGATGGCAGGTCCCGTCGGAAAGTGCTTGGTGGCTCGCCGACCCTCCAGCGGCACACGTGCAACGAATGTGGCAAAACCTACGCAACGTCTTCCAACCTGAGCAGGCACAAACAGACACACCGGAGCCTGGACAGCAAGATGGCCAAAAAGTGCCCAACATGTGGGAAAGCCTACGTGTCCATGCCAGCCCTGGCCATGCACCTGCTTACCCATGACCTCAAGCACAAGTGTGACATATGTGAGAAAGCGTTCAGCAGACCTTGGCTACTGCAGGGCCACATGCGCTCTCACACGGGCGAGAAGCCCTTTGGATGTGCACACTGTGGAAAAGCGTTCGCCGACCGTTCCAACCTGCGGGCGCACATGCAGACCCACTCCGCATTTAAGCATTTCAAATGCAAGCGATGCAACAAAACTTTCGCGCTCAAGTCCTACCTGAACAAGCACTACGAGTCGGCGTGCTTTAAAGGTGCGTTCTCGCCGCTTGCATCCGTCGAGTCGTGACTTCTGGTCTGTAAGTGCTCACTCCCCCATCAAATGTTAGGATGATTACACTATCTTACCCAGTTATGTCTCACAATCAAAATGAAACCCAATAATAGCACAATTTTATCTTTTTTTTTTTTTCTCGCAAAGTTGACCTTAAAGGAATATGGAACCTTCGCATGCACTTCAGCACCCATGTCCTCGAATAACGTTCAGACAGTTCACCTCGGCGCTGCGCAGTACTTGACTATGACTTGCATCGAATGAAGGTTTGAGTGACACCATGTTCCTCATTAAAATAAAACTCTTTTGTATTGTCAGTGGATATTATCATACTGCTGCAAGTGGCCCAAACGTATTCACAATCGAGGTAAACCGGTATTAATTATTTATTTATATATTGTTTTTTTTTTATATATTTATTTTTGTTTGTCAGATTCTATTACTTCATCTAGGATGTATGATTCTCTATGATGCACTGAAAGTGTGATTTTCATGTATTTATTTATTTTAATGATTCATTTGGCCTTTTTCTTACTCAATAATGTTGCCTTTTGGGTTATGCCAGTCTTATTAACATGCCAAAGCATTTAGATCCATGGTAATGATTTTAAATTGCTTTTGGTTTTTTTTTTTTTTTTTTTATTTGATTCTTTTTTGTATACCTACTTAATGCATGCAAAAAGAAAAGAAATCTATGCCAATACCACAAAGCTTATAATTTTGCCAAAATGTAGAGATAGTATCAGGGGGCAATATTTCTAGGGGTTCTCATAAGAATATATAAAGCAATAATCATAATGCATGGTATTTTTGAAAGTAATAAAGTATTACCTATAGCAGTTTTTTCTAAATCAGGTACATTTTGATCCAATACTCTTAATAAACATTTAAAAATACCACATCAGGGAAAATGCCAATGTAGAGTTTAGTGAGACTAAATCCATAAGTCTAAACCATCTTTCTTTGCTCTCTACTTATGCACTGCCTGCCTCGAATTTAAATGTAGATTTAGGATGTAGGCCCCAAGTGCTGTAACTCCACTCTAAGCAATTCAGAACCATTCTCTGGAAGTGTGGAACATGTAATGGCTTTTCTGAGGTTAACTCAAAGGGACACGCAAGGACAAGAAAAGGACTGGAGTGATGGGAAGGTGTACCATCTGCATAGCCGTTCTGTAATGCACTCACACTGCATTTCCAGCTCGGATCAGATACTTAATTTTCTCTGGTTTGGGTGTCCCTGAGGTTGAAAGCACTTCATTGTAGAAATCCTTAAAAAGTAGCACAAAAACCCTAGATTCAGGTAGATGTTACCTAGCTCAATCTTCCTTTTTTATACCTCGAGAGAGGAATAACAGCTCAGTTTGTGAGATGATCTTCATGTAGATACTTATTTGAAGAGGAAAAACCTTTTTACTGTAGATGAATCCACTATACCTGTTCAAGAAACAAACAAAAAAATGTCCTGCAACTTTTTGAGCCAATGTTCAAATGATGTAAGCACAAGACACAAGGCATTTTAAGCACTTCATAATAAAGGCAAAGTAAACAAACCGAGTCTATTGCTCATTTGTCTCTGATTATTGCCGTTCCTCTGTGAAATTAGTCTATTAAAGAGGCCAATTAATCTTGGTGAATGAAAATCAATACACACAAACTGACGATGCAACACAGGCCAAGAAATGGGACGGGTGAAAACCTGCTATGGTTATTTAGGGTTCAATATGTCCACTCTGGCAGTAGCAATTGGTTGTTTTTAATGGAGCACCAAAAGCTGATATAATGGAAATAATGGAGTGACGATAATGAAAGTCCAGAGGGAATAATTTCCACAGGTGCTGTGTTTCTTTCAAGGTGACATTCTCGCCACACAATCTTTGTTGGATAAGAAAAACATGCACTTTTGTTAACTCAAATCAACAGGTTTCATGGTGACGCTGCAAAGCTGCATGATGCTTTTCCATCCTTGTACCAATCAGTGTACACCACATAAATGTTAGCAATCCACATTATTAGGTGTTTGTTTTGCCGCTTAAAGTGAGGGATGCATTATACTTGCGTTTTGGTGACTGTGCATGCAATATCAATTGCCTTTGTGTTAGGATGCAATCCACTTCACAAACATGCTACGAAGTGCAGCTTTTACTGCAGTTCCATCTGTATCTGCTCAGTTCTCGTTCAGCGAGGAGCACCAAACTCTCCCACTCAGGTTAATCTAACTTGTGCAAACGAGGCCACCAGTGTCATCAATTTGCTGGGAATCATTATCCGAGCATTCTGTGCGTCTGCGCTCCGGTCTCCGGAGCTCTGGGTAATTGTGCTAGCAGGATGGGATCAGCAGGAGCCATTATTTAACCGGAGACAGCTGTGCGAGGGGCCGCACACGTTGATCTGTTTGCTGTTTCGTCTCTGTCTCTCTGCTTTAGAATCACAGCATCCCTTGAGTGATTCCTGCATTTTTTTGTACTCTCCTTGTACTCCGGGGTCCTCGGCTCTCTGACAAACCCCATAACGCTCTCTCAAGTCGAGCAAGTTTACTTTTACAACACAGATTGAGCTTGATCTCAGAATAAACATTTTTAGAAGTGATTATTGGATTGGGTTTAGTCAAAGAAACTGCTTATTAGTGACATAGCTGGAAAATCAGAATCAATATCTATGAGGTTACAATCAACAGTGGCTGAAATTGTGCTTGAGTCAACTGATGGATTAGATCAGAAGCTATTGAAGCAAGCCTTATACTCAAAAACACATAGACGGGTCAGAGAACAGTATTCATTAAGAGTATGTTGTTTGTTGATGTACTACTACTAATAGCTGGCCAGTATCTGTACATGCCAACACTCATAAGAAAACATCACTGTAACAGCTTTTATCTTGCACCAGCAAAACACCTCTTATACTGTATTTTAAGTTGGGGGTTTTTTTTCTAAAATGTTCAAACTGTTTTTTTTTTCTTCTAAATGTCAAAAGCTGCATTATAATCCACTGTATTCCTCTGATAAAGGCTACAGTATTCACCTCCTGAAGCCACAAGCTTTAACGGAGGAGTTTACGTTTTGATATTCCCTGATAATCTTCCCCTCTGCTATTGCACTTAAATCTTTAAATATTCCAATTTTGTTACCTCAAGAAACATGACGTTTAACAATGTCAGTTGCCGTTAGCTCTTGTGTGTCTTGTAATGGACTGTGATATGCAAGTTTGAAGATCTCTTTTAGAATGAGATTTTAGAGCTATAAATTGTTTTTCCCCATGCATATTTCGCAATGAGTTCAGACTGATTCTGCGTGTCCAAGCTACTTGGTTTGAAAGTGACTATGAACTGTGCTTTATGCAATAGAAAGTGGACATGTTTTGCAAGCAAAATTTCGCTGAGGTGACCCACACCTATACTTGTTTCACAAAAACCCAACGTCCGTATTCTGTAAAACAGGTTGTATTGCTTCCGATTCAGGTCTTTTATATATGCTTTGTTAAATATAGGGATGTTTTAATCAAGATGCCTTCAAAGGAGCTGCAAAAGATGAGCATAACTGATGTTATATGCAGACTATATATCTAATATTTGATTGATATCTAAAAGTTTTTTTGGTAACACTTTAGATTAAGGAAATCTTTTTACTATTAGCTAGTTGCTTGTTAGCATGCATATTACTAGCATACTGGCTGTTTATATAAAGTACATATTAATGCACGACCATATTCTAGATCCCTTAACCCCAATACCTAAACTACTACAACAACTACCTTACTTACTATCAAAAAGCAGCAAATTAGGAGTTTATTCAGGGAAAACTCTTAGTTAATAGTGAATATGTGTTCCCTAATCTAAAGTGTTAGCTTGTTTAAAATTTTCTTATGATCTCTAACGTTCAAAAATATAAAAAATATAAAATCAAATAAAACAATCAATAAAAGGAACGGGCTAGGTTAGCTGATTATCTTAAATGTCCACACATATCTCTGACCATTCACACTGCTGTTAATATTTTGTCCAACAAGCGGATGCGATGAGACCTGTTTTCCTTTTTGTTCATGTATTTGTTACGTTGTATGCTGCTTTTTCTTAGTGGAAGCTTTAAGATAATACACTGGGTTGATTATGAAATCATTTAAACTCACAACAGTATGTCATCCAAGATTTTACTTGTCGCAGTGTAATAAGTGGGATAATGTTTAGTCAGATGATCATTATCACAAAATAAACCCCGACGAAGAGTGATATTTCTTACATGTTGTGTAGTGGTTGGTGTTAAGGGCTCAAAAATATCTGTATAGTAGTACAATTTAAATAATAAATGTAGGCTATAATATAGAAACAATCAAAAACCTTGGTTAAACACACTTCAGTGTTGTACACCATGTGACAATACCCCAAATTTGCAGAGATTTTGATGTTTTTGAGTTGAGAATTTCACGTTTTACGAAGCAGAATGAAAGTCCATGCAGTGATGTTCCCCTTATCAAACATAAAGTTCCTTTAAAGCAAGGTACTATAGAAGACATATGTATCTGCCACAGTATAGATTCATAGTACCTCAGCTATCTGTCACATCCTCTCTTTCTCAGATATGTTTCCCAGTGCAGCGATTTCCATTCTGTTTTTATCCAAGCAGCTTGTGTCTTTTTAGTCGTTTTAATAACATACTAATCCATATGTGCACTTTCTTGCAGCTCAACCATGACACCTGTAACATAAAGCATACCGTTCCTTCTGATTCTCTCATCATATAGAGAGGGTTTGCTTCCCTAGTGTTGTGTAGATGTCCATACTAGTGTAGGTGGAGGTCTTGAAAAGCAATGTCTGCAGGCAACTTTGCTCAGACACACTTCAGTAGCTACAAGTAGCAGCCGGGCGCTCAGAGAGAGAGAGAGAGAAAGAGAGAGATAGAGGTTTTTTATAGCTGTTGCGCAGCCACTTGAGAGAGTGTTACTTCTGATGAGAATAGACATTGTGAAATGCATCGTCTTTATGCTCTGTGTTTGTATGTAGTATATACTTAAAACATATTTAAATGTTTAAAAACATTTATTTTAAATGTAAAATATTACAAATATATTGTTTCATTTTAAATTGTTTGAAAATATTTTTACAAATATTTAAACATTTATTAAATTGATTCCAGTGGATAAAATAATGGCTGTAAAAATAGCACACCTTAGGCTGAAACAGCTTAAATTCACATTAGCATAAGGTTAAATGTTTAACCTTTAGGTTTTGTAGTAGTTAACCCTGAATTCCTCCCCCGAAGAGAGGTCATTAAATGCAAATAGTATCAATGTTATAAAGATTTAACTATTCTTATTTACATAGAAGTGCAACTTATCTGGCAGACAGTGGAAGATTCAAATAATTCATGAGGCCTTT